CAATCAGCTGAGAGGAGGGGAAAAAAGCTGACAATCAGCTGAGAGGAAAAAGAAGATAAAAGTGCAGGATCAGCACTCCCCACCCACTCCTACGCTTTTCTCTTCTTTATCCTCTCAGCTGATGGGCGCTGCAGGTCTCAGCTGGTGTGGGAAGAGATGCGTGCTGGCATTAGGCAAAGTACCCCACCAAGCCATGTCCACCAAACTGGTGGTAAAACAAGTTGAATCCCACCACTGTTCTGAATGCAATTCAAGGTACTGGTTTTCACATTTAAAGCCCTGCATGGCATGGGGCCAGGCTATTTAAGGGACCACCTTTTCCTGATCACATCTGCCCATCCCGTCAGGTCCAGCAGGAGGGTTGTGTTGAGGGTCCCATTTGCTTTCATCCAATGGGACCCAGATGGCGTGTTTCTCCTGCCTTCTAGAACATCATCCCTCCGCCGAAGGTGAGGTTAGCCCATCCCTGTTAATCTTTCAGAAAATCCCCCAAAACCTAACTTTTCCAGCAGCCTTGGACATTCCATGGAAAAGACTGCATAATTATTATATTGTGCTTAGGTGCATGTTCTCCAGCAATCTTGCTTTTATTTATATTTTTAGCTTTTTAAAATAGCTATAACATTGTTTTTAAGTGTTGATTGCATGCTACCCAAAATCACATTCAGTGAAATGAGCTGCCATATCAATTTATTAAATAAATAAGTACATCTGGATTTTTTCTGCAGTCTCAGTGATAGCTGACCAAATATATAAGGGGATAGTCTGCAAGGGAAGATCCACAAGCCTTCCTATTTGTAATGATCTGTGGGAATGACCTTGGAAGGTAGAAGGAAGAGTCACAGCCTAGACAACAATCGAAGAAGAGAAATGTGAATCCAAAGTAGATGTGGGGATAGACAAAGCGTATCAGAAGGGACTCTCTTTAGTATTTGGGAGAGTAAAAGTAAATGGTACTTATAGACCTACAAGATTCTGTTAATGTAACCTTCAAATAAAGATAGTTTGAATACTCGTGGTTGGTATTTTTTCTTTCAACTTCCTCAAAAAGCTGACTCTGTTCTGTAAATAACTTCATAGCACTATAAAATAGAAAACGGGAACACCATATTTACCTCGGAACATATAACTTTGCCCTATCCGCTTAAAAAAAATGAATTCTTACATTGAGAGACACTATATCACCTTCTTTCCTAGATTATTTAAATTTTGCTCCAATAAAATGACAAAAACAACTGAGATCTTTTACCTTATTTCCCTCACGATGGGCATTTTGCTCCCTGGAAATCTTCACCTTCACACACTTGGTTTTTTGAGTAACCATCAAGAGATAACAAATTCGAACACCAGACATATTTTCTGAAAATAATGTAGAAAAAACTGCAAATTCAGAATTCAAAGAAACAGACTTTGAGGGGAAGGAATTATTACTCACTTCCAATAGCATATTATGAAAGAGGGGGACCTTTTATGAATGAACCATAGAAATAAAAAGCCCCCTGAAACAAACAGCATAACTTTTAGAACCTGTAGGCTAATCAAAGATGAGCACCTCACTTTTGAAAGTTGAATGCTCCTCAATCAAAGTTCTACCAAATAAAATGTAGGAGAAAACAACAATGGGTCCAATTTTTAATTTTCCTTTCATTGAGCTAAAGTGTATTAGTAGCCAACCTCTGTAAATGCCAATCCTGCTTGACCAAATCCAATAAGGTCAACATTGATTAGACAGGTGACTCTCCTACTTTCGTATCTCCTTTATCTCCACTAAAATTTCTGCTAGAGAAAGTATTTTCATAGATTCCAATATGGAATCCTGTTGTCTTCATGCAGCTGGGAATATTGATTTGCAGTGGTTTGTTTGCTGCACAAAAACCACTCTTATTGTTTTCTTTGATACAGCTATCTTCCTTGATTTCTTTCCAGTTGCATTCATTTAATTTTAATTTGTAGTTTCTTAATGGCACTTGGAGGCGTCTTAAAAACCCAAGGTATATTTCTCCCATTGTACTGAGCTGACACCCACACTGTTGAACTTCACATTGTTTTAAATTGCCTTTGTATATACTGGTGTGACCACAGGATAAGAGCAAACAATACAACAATTCCCATCCTTTTGCTGCTATCTACTGATCATCTATTCTTGCAATTCAAATTTGGTAGCATTAATTAATGATGCAACCTATTGACACTATCCCTAAGAGAACCTTCTACACCAAGACCAGCTTGTGTGTACAAGCCCTGGGTATCAGAACAAGTGTGAACTCCCAGATGGAATCGCCATGTCCCCATCACCAATATTGTGATGGGAGCCCTATCAAAAAGGATTCCTCAGGAATGCCCTACGTTTCCCCTTCTCTCATATGCAATCATTCTCCAGGAAATACAAGAGTTCTTCTTAGATCTCCCTATAGAGCAGGGATCCCCAACCTTTTCGACGCCGCGGCCCGGTTCCGACATCAGCTGGGCGCCGCGGCCCGGTACCGGCGTCAACTGGGCGCCGCCATCTTTTTATGACGAAACAGCGCTTCCGGTGAGCTTTCTACCCGGAAAAGCTCACCAGAAGCGCTTTTTTACCAAAAAAAAGATGGCGGCGCCCAGCAACCAGCGGCCCGGTAAGGGTTGTTCCGCGGCCCGGTACCGGTCCGCGGACCGGCGGTTGGGGACCCCTGCTATAGAGAACTGGAAGTAGAACTGGGGTTTTCTGCACGCTCTCTTCCACTGAACAAGAGCCCTCAGTTATTATCCACATTTCCTATGGAATCATCTGATTTACCGTTAAGTTGCAGGTTTGCCATGACACTTAAGTGGAGAGAGCAATGCCTGTGATCTTCACACTTCATTGTAGTCCCAAGTTTCATGTTTTTAAGATTAACTGGAGAAAGGGAGGCAGGCGCAGGATGGCAGAAACTGCTCGCAGCCTCCACTGTAAAAGGTAACAAACAATATATGTATATATGTGCCTCTCTGTAAAAACAAACTTGAAATAACTCAATAACATTGTAAATCATTGGAGAAAAACTCAGGTGTCTATATGATCATCGGTCATAACTAATAGGGGAGGAGAGACATTCACTAGTCAAACAATGCACTACAGACATATATTTCAGTCACATCTTCTAAAAAACAATGGTAAATATATCCCCTGTCCAGCCAATTCTGACTCAAGAGGGCTAGTTGCATAATTCATCAGTACCTATTGTACTTTAGCACAACAGAGAATTTTGGAACAATCAAGAGTCTTCCCTTGGAGGAAGGAATTATATGTTCATTGGCCATAATGTCTTGGGCCAATTTAGGATCTGATGAAATATTTCAGTTCTGAGGAAGATGACTAGTGCATGTGTCACCCACAGGGCAAAATGGTTGCCAAGGAAAAAACCTACTCCCCGTGTGAAACATGTTTTTGTGTTCAAATCATTTTTGACTCTTGGCAACTGCCTGGACAAGTCCTTGTAGTTTTATTGGTTACATTTTCAGAAACAGTGTATCATTACCTCTCTCTTCTAAGAGAGTGGAAGAGGGAGAGGAAGGGAGAAGGGGAGAGAGGGAGGGGGAGAGAGGGGGAGAGAGAGGAAGAGAGGGAGAGGGAGGGAGGGAGGGGGAGAGAGATTAACCTAAAATTATCCAGATGGCTTCATTCCTATGTGAGGACTAGAACACATGGCTTCTTGGTTTCTAGCCTGGTGCCTCTAACCATTATACCAATCTAATTCTTGATTGTTTAATTAATGTTCTCTTAAGTTACACAATTGACTTGGAAATAAAAGACCCATTTGGTTAAATACTTCCCCTCCCTCGCCTCCCCCCAAAAATGAATAACCAGAGGACCAAATTAGGGTTATGCTACCGTTCTATGCATAGAATTGTAGTCCAAAAATAATTTCAAAATATGACTGAATTGTACAGAAGATTTTTTTTTTTTTTTTAGACAATGAGATTATTCTAGACATCAAAGCATATTCCCACAGTTTAATTAACCATTCTTCCATAGCGGAAAAGAAGGATCTTTTCCAATAAAAGCAGACAAAATTCTTGTAGCTATTATCTTAAGCTATGCCAGGTCAGTATAATTTGAAGGAGTGTGCGCTTTAGTAAAGATTAATAGAAATATCGCCAGTTGAAATGAAACTATAACTTTCAAACTTCATTCCATTCTGCAAAGAATTAATTTCCAATGCTGTTGAGTTTTGCCACATTAACTTTGGATTTGGAAGAAAGACCCAATCTGATCATTTCCAGCATTGGGGGTGGGGTTACACATTTTAGCCATCATTTAGCCTTATTAGCTATAAAATATCTTATGTCAATTCTTTGAGATGTATAAAATGAACTGAATATTCTTTTTTCCATTGAAATTGCCACTGCTCAATCTTTATAACAATGGAGATTTTATTCAGAAATAATTCTCTCTCTGCCCCGCTGCCCCCACAGCCAATCTCAGCTACCCTGAACGGTGGCACTCATCAGCAGCACTGAGGTTGGATCTGAAGTAGAGGCCACCAAAGTCACTCAAAATGGCTGCCTAGCATCATTTCCCAAGATGGCAGCATTCTCTTTCCGTTGACAAGCACCTGTGGCCTAGCCGAGTCTGCTCGAGATTGCACAAGGCCTTTGTTTTTGAAGTAGCTTCAGAGAATGCTGTGAACACTGCATGAAAACAGGCCTTGCACCATTTTCGGACACTCAGAAGGCCACACAAGAACATGACCTTCTCACATGACTCCCATAGGGCCCGGAGGCCGTACAAGAGCATACACCATTCTCATGCAGCCTGTGCAGCTTCCAAAACCTCCCAAAAAATGGGACATGCTTTCAAGAATATTCGTTAGGAGTTGGGGAGCAGTGGTGTGTCACCCAAAATATCACCTTTGATATGTCATCACTGCTCTAGGAGATGGTTTGTGATCCGTAGAGCCTTCACCCTATTCCACCTTGCTTCCCTACTGTCTACTAATTGTTTAATGTTGACCTCACCCCATTCCTAAGAGGTCTGTAAGAGGCATGCATAAGCGCAAAACGTGCCTACCATCCTTGTCTTAATGTTCCCTTTTATTCATTCATTTATTTATTTATTTTTATTTGATTTGTCAATCGCTTACAAGATAATAGGTATAAGTATATACATAGTTAGGAATACATGAAATGGGTACATATAAGAAAAATAAAAGAAACAATAGGACAGGGACGGTAGGCACGTTGGTGCGCTTATGCACGCCCCCTACAGACCTCTTAGGAAAGGGGTGAGGTCAATAGTAGACAGTCTAAGGTTAAAGTTTTTGGGGTTTGGGGAAGAAACTACAGAGTCAGGTAGAGTATTCCAGACTTCGACCACTCTGTTGCTGAAGTCGTATTTCCTGCAATCAAGTTTGGTGCAGTTAACCTTGAGTTTGTATCTATTGTTTGCTCTTGTGTTGTTATGGTTGAAGCTGAAGTATTCATTGACAGGTAGGACATTGCAATGTATGATTTTATATACCATACATAGATCACATCTATTTCATGTATTAATAATCATGTTTATACTATATATATTATCAAATGCATGCTTGACAAAATAAATAAATAAAAATAAAATAAAATAATTCCTCTCAACTGATATTCAGGTGACAACATCGGCTGCCCTGAGGATCATTTTGTGAAAGAAGGGGGCTGCCCAATAAAATAGATCAGTACTCCAAGTTTAGCCTTCTGATAAAATCTTTCTGTCCTCCCAATCCCAGTTCCAGTCCCAACTCATAGAAGAAAGAGTGATGGGTGGATATTTTTCTCATCAGCAGACAATGCCCATTAAAGAAAAAAATGAAACCAGGGGATCTGCCAATCCCTTAATATCAAATATGTGCAGACAGCACCACTGGGTGGCCTCATCACCGAGACAAAAAAAATGACTTAGAAATTGACATAAAGAAGCTTGCGCCAGAGTACTTTTCTGCTGACTCAAAGACTCAAGACTGCACATTCAAGTGGCCACAAGCAGAGAGATAATAAAGAAACTTCTGAAAATAAGAGTGAAGGGTACAATAAAAGCTGAAATACAACAATTTACTCTAATAAAAACACAGAAAGCCCAGGTTGTGAACAATCTTTTACAAGATTTGATCTTTTCTATAATCCTTTTATGTAGGTCTCTTTATTCACTTGATTCTCCATATCTCTATTGTTCTGATGTTTTGATGCTTTTAGTGGCTTTTAATTATTGTAAGCAACCTAGAGCAATGGTGGGATACAAAAATTTTTTTTACTACCAGTTCTGTGGGCGTGGCTTGGTGGGCGTAGCAGGGGAAGGATACTGTAAAATCTCCATCCTCACCCAACTCCAGGGGAAGGTTACTGCAAAATCCCATTCCCTCCCCACCCCACTAACCTGCTTTCCAGCTCCATTCTCCTGTGCAGGGCAACAAAAGAAGACCCAGATGATCAGCTGGGACTCGGAGGCAGAGAATAGATGTGGGTGGGGCCAGTCAGAAATGATATTTGCCGGTTCTCCAAACTACTCAAAATTTCCACTACCAGTTCTCCAGAACTGGTCAGAACCAGCTGAATACCACATCTGGCCTAGAGTCATCTCCAGCAGAGATGGACGGCATCTAACAATGATGACGAACCTTTTTGTTGTGGTGTGCCAAAAGCACACATTTTCAGCCTCCGGAGGGAGCCTGGGGGAGGCTGTTTTCGCCCCTCTCGGAGGCTCAAGGGAAGCCTCAGGAGCCTGAAAACGGGCCCATTTTGGCACTTCCGGTATTTCTGGAAGACCCGTTTTTCAGCCTCCTGAGGCTGCAGAGGCTTTCCTCGAACCTCTGGGAGGGCGAAAACAGCCTCAAACGGTCCAAAAATCAGATGGAAGGCATGCGCAGTCCAGATAAGTTTGGCTGGGGCTCACGTGCCCACACAAATGGTTCTGAGTGCCAACTGTGGCACATGTGCCATAGGTTCGTCATCACGGGCATATAAGATAGATAAATAAAAAAATATAAATAAATAAATAAGTGCTTGAATAATATACCTAGTACACCACAGGCCACAACAGATTAAGAACAAGAAAATTATATCCGCCTTCTTGAATACAGAACACTGTGGGTAGACCAGTAGACAGATTAGTTTGGTCTAGTGGTTAAGGCACCAGGCTAGAAACTGTGGGAGACTGTGAGTTCTAATCCTGCCTTGGGCATGAAAGTCAGCTGTGTAATTTTCAACCAATCCCTCTCTCGCAGCCAATCTACTTCACAGGGTTGTTGTTGTGGGGGAAACAGGAGGAGGGAATATTATGTATATTTGTTGCCTTATTTATAAAAAATAATAATGGTAAGATAAAATGAATAAATAAGTAATAATAATAAATGAAAATGTTAAGTGATTTTAAGTGATGATAGCCATTGAAGACACACATATAAAAACAATCAAAAGCATATCATACTCTTATTATAGATTGCATCCAAATTGAATATTTGGCCTATAACAAGAGTTACCGACAAATGAATTTGGAACATACAATAACATACAATAGCTTGACTGCTGGCGCAATGTCAGGATGTATAGTCCAGTGACTATTCTACATTGCTAGTGTGCAGCGTTCACCCATTCAAAAACTCTGTTTAAAGATTTTGATAGCTATTTATTCAATAATTTACAATCCCGAAATGTTGGTGTAGAAAAAAAACCACCATTGGTATATATGTCAATTGAGTATGCCCATGATTATTCATTTGAAGTACTTGTGTAGGTGCTGATATTTTCTTTGAGGGACAATGGGTGATACAATCAAAATAGTACAACGAGTGATAATACATTTTGTATTCTGAGAATCGAAGCCTCATTTTTTAAAAAAATAATTCTTGTTAAAAAGCAAACATACTATTTAAGCCATTCACAGAAAATCCACATGATCCAAGGCACTTGAGGATGAATAAGAAGGTCCTCAAATAGGAAGAAAATTTCAAAAACAAATAATGAGCTTTCAGGCTGATTGGTCATTCAAAAGTTTTGCTTTCCTGATCTCAAGAATGAATGAAATATAATAAGAATGAAAATATAATACTTACTAGAAAATTGATGTTTGCAATGAAATCCCTATGGAGGAGAAAATTAAGATACATTAATTTAAATAATATATCTAAGGAATAACATAAGACAAATAACACTCATATATTCATATAAAAATACACATTAATTCTTAGAGGTCAATTGAATTATGTGGTTGAAATTCAAACTATAATCACACATAAGATTTCAATCTTGATTAAAAATACAAAAAAAAATTGTCTAGAATAAAAGAAAGTTAAAGGAAGATGCAATCACTTTCTTAAAATACTTGGAGAATTTTCACACAGAAATGAAGTACATCTGCTTTATGTTACTCTAAACAGAAGGACCCAAATGAAGGTGAAAAATACAAGGATTCCAAGTTAAATCCTGGGAAAGGTTCCTAATAAGCTGTAAAAGGGGTATGCCTGGGAAACAGAGGCCCTTCTTCACTGAAGACTAGACAATTACCTATTTGGGTTGTAAAAAGCAGATCCTGTACTGCAATTCTACCCTGAAGCTCCTGGACTAAATGATCTCCACGTTCTCTTTAACTCTACAATTCTAGGAATAAGCATGGGCTTAAAATCTGTAATATCTGTCATAAGGTATGCCAATGTTAAGTCATCAACCAGTAAAGTAAACCCTATCTCCATGATGGCGAACCTATGGCATATGTGCCACAGGTGGCACGCAGAGCCATTTGTGCGGCCACGCGAGCCCCAGCCAAACTTTCCTGCACTGCACATGCGCGTGCCTCCCAGCTGATTTTTGTCCCATTTGAGGCCTTTTTCAGCCTCCCAGAGGCTCGAGGAAAGCCTCTGCAACCTCAGGAGGCCGAAAAAATGGGCCTTCCAGAAATATCAGAAGTGACAAAACAGGCCCATTTTTCGACCTCTGAAGGCTACAAAGGCTTCCCTCGAGCCTCTGAGGGAAAAAGGCCTCAAACGGGACAAAATCAGCTGGGAGGCGCACAGTGCAGGTAAGAGGGTGGCGGGGGGATCGCACACGCATGCGCAGGGGGCAGGGGGATGCCACGCGCATTGCCTTCTAGGTGCTGGCACACGAGCACACGAGCACACGAGCGTGAGCGAGCGTGCAATTTTCAGCACAGAAGCCCAAAAAAGTTAGCCACCACTGCCCTATGTCAACACAGAATGTTGAGACTCTGGAAAGAGTGCAGAGAAAAGCAACAAAGATGATCAAGGGGCCAACACGGATGAAGAATGGAGCAGTCTAAACTCCGTCATCAGGTGCTTAGACTGCTTACCACAGTATGAGAAATTCTGCATTCTGTAGTGACTTGGAAGCAGAATGATATCCTCTCAGATTATTTTGGATTGATCTACTGTTCTGGCATGGCTCAAGAACTGCCTTGAATCTATGACTTTACCTGATAAAGCACTCCTGCAGACTGTTTGTGATGGATTGTGATCCATCGCCATATTTTTTTTTACCCTGTCCCCACATCTATTTACAGGTAGTCCTTGACTTACAATCATTCATGCAGTGATCTTTCAAAATTACAATGGTATTCTTATTATTTTTATAAATTTTCATTCATAAACATTTTTAAACCACAACAGTAAAGGGAAATACCAGTCTGGCTTTCCCCAATGGAGGCACTTATATATCCAAATCTCATTAATTTGGGGAAATGAGAGGGGTGAACTTAAATCAAGGCAACAACTACAGGACCAAGGGAGTAGCTTGGTGGCCGTATTTTCTGATTCAGTCAAGATATGAGAAAGATGTTAGAACATGGGGGTAAATAAAGATCCTACAGCATTGGATACAATTTTAATGGGGACGGATGAAAAATTGATTTAAAAATATACAATTTTTTTACTGAACTACAAAATGGAGGAAGAAATAGTCAAAGAAACAATGATTGCCTGGGCAAAAAACTTTGGCTATAATATAGAATTAGAGAATTGGCAAAAACTTTGGGACAGAAATTACAAAATGACTATGGCTTCAGCTTACAAAGCAAATCTATAATAAGATGTTTTACAGGTGGCATTTACCACCTGCAAGATTGACAACCTATCTCGTAATATTGCAAATACAGCCAGGTCTCAGGCACCTATTACCATATGTGGTGGACATGCAATAAAGCAAGAAAATATTGGGAGAATATACATAAATGGCTGGAAACGATAACCGAACAAAATATTGATTTTAAACCAGAAACGTGCCATTTAGGTATACTATCAGAGGATCTTGACAAAGTAACCACATATTTAATGTTACACATATTGAGGGCAGCAAGGATTACATATGTTTAATACTGGAAAAATATGAATATTCCACTGGACAAGGTTATAATTAGGAAAATTTGGGACTGTGCTGAAATGGATAGATTAACTTTAAAAATTAAAGACAAAGATGATTCAGAATACCTTCAGACATGGAATAAATTCTATGAATGGATAGAGAAAAGAGGTAGAAATTAGAGAAAGTAAGATTATGAAGGTTAATATATATAATATATAATATATAATATATAATATATAATATATAATATATAATATATAATATATAATATATAATATATAATACATTAATGCATACATACATACATACATACATACATACATACATGTTTTCTTAAGTTTTTGCGGGTATTTATATGTATGGTATTCAGCTTTGTTCGGGTATTTTCCCACGTCATTATAGTTGTGCTTTTAAAGTTGAAGCAACGTTTCGGCAGAATCTTATCTGCCATCATCAGGCTTCTGCATATGAGCATGCACAGGGAGCATGGGGGGGCACGCATTGTCTTCTGGGTGCTGGCACCCGAGCGCGTGCATGCGAGCGTGCACTCAATTTTCAGTACAGGAGCCCAAAAAGTTTAGCCACCACTGCCCTATACCTTTTCAGATAAGTGGCTGTCCAATCTCTTCTTAAAAACCTTAAGTGATGAAGTACCCTCAACTTCTGAAGGCAAACTGTTACACTGGTTAATTGCCCTGACTATCAAGAAATTTCTCTTTAGTTTTAGATTGTTTTTTCCTTGATTAGTTTCCATCCATTGCTTCTTGTCCTGCCTTCGGGCACTTTGGAAAATAGGTTGACCCCTTCTTTTTTGTAGCAGCTATTCAAATATTGAGGAACACTGCCATCATGTAGTCCTCCATTTCACTAGACTAGACATACCCAATTCCTGCAACTGTTCTTCATATATTTTGGGCTCAAGCCCCTTAATCATCTTTGTGGCTTTCCTTTGCACTCTTCAACATTTCAACGTCTTCCGCGTGAGCTTTGACTTTTTTTATTTTGTGGTGTAGGAAGTTAACACCCACTCCTCTCCTAGAAAATTGAAATATCCTCGGAAATATTAAAAAGGCAGAAAATTTCCCCTGAAAAGAGTAGAAACTCAGAAGCAGAAACTCACCTCAGAAGCCAAAGCTCACCCCCACCTTTGTTAATGGGTGGACCATTAAGGCCTGGGCCAGAATATTTTACATAACAAAGATCTCCAGGTAAAGCTGTAGCAATTGCCCAAAGCCCTTTTCATTACATCATCATCCAGCAAGGCTCAACCAAGCGTGGGACTCGGGACAGCCTACAGTGTTGCCCCTCCATGGCCCCATGGGAGTCTGACAACCAATCAGAATACAAGCTCAAATTTAAATCTCAACAGAGGGTATAAAACCAGGCACTCTCAGCATCTCAGCCCTTCCTTCTCTTTTCCTTCACCTTGAAGCATGTGATCCTCCTTTTCACTTTGAAGCTCCAAGCCTTGTGGTCCTGCTGTCCACCATTAAACCATCTTTCCAAACAGACTCCATGTTTCCAGTGTCTTTTTTCCCCACTTGGAACTGAACCCAGAAGGATATTTCTTCCAACAGTGGCAACAAAAACTTGACTCAATTATACTAAGCTCTTATAAAGCAGTACTAACCCTTCACATAATGTGAATTCTATCCCTCTATTAATGCAACCTGGAAGTGCATTGGCTTTTTCAGTGGCTGCCACACACTGCTGGCCCATATTTAAGTGATTGTCCACTAGGACTCCAGCATCCTCCTCCCAGTTACTGCTATTGAGCCAGGTTACACTTATTCTATACTTTGTACATTTGGTTTTGCTTGCTTAAGTGTAAAACCTTACTTTTCTCACCACTGAATTTCATTTTGTTAGTTAGGGCTCTGTGTTCGTCTTTAAGGATCTCTCTGGATCTTTAGCCTATTTTCTGGGGTATTCCTACCAACTTGGTGTTATCCGCAAATTTAATGAGTTCCCCTTCTATTCCCTCATCAAAATTGTTTATGGATATATTGAAATGTACTGGACCTAAGACAGAACCGTGAGGTACCTTGCTCCTTACTTGCCTCCATGTAGTAGTAGTTCCATTAAGGACTACATATTGAGTTTGTCAGCCAGTTATGAATCCATCTGGTGATGATGCTGTCTATCCCACATTTTTATACCTTAGTTGTAGCTTACATTATATTAATATATTTTTTGTGACTTATGACTCTAAGTTACTTATGACCAGTCCTCACACTTGCAAACATCATAGAATCCCCTGGCCACATCATCAAAATCCGGTTGCTTGGAAGCCACCATGTATTTATGATACTTGCAGTGTCCTGAAGTTATGTAATCACTATTGATCACCTTCCCAGTTGGCTTCTAACAAGCAATGCCAATGGGGGAAGCCATATTTGCTTCAGTGACCATGGGATCCAGTTACCAAGTATAATGATACACTTTACAACTCTGGTAAAAACAGGCCCTAAAATTGGACGCACCTCTCTAACCACCTTTCTTTGCAGTGGATTTTTGGCCCTAATAGTACCCTGTTTCTCCAACAATACGGCCTCCCCCAATGGGAAGTCCCAGCATGTTTTATAGGCATGAAATGAAATTAAGCCCCTCCCCCCAAATTAAGGCCTATATTAAAACATGCGAAATGGGGGGGAATGGTGGGGGGGGCTTGCCGTTAGGAAGTACTTTTGTTGCACACCCAGATATGGTGCTGCCTGTGTTGACCCTGATACGAAGTGCCCCACCAACGCTGAGGTCAACATCCAAGCCAT